CCTCCTTCTCCTTCTCTCGTTTCACAGTGTCGCCTCTCGCACGTACCGGATTACGCGCTGCGACGAAGCTGGCTTGCTGTCAATCGCGCGAGCACGCATTTTACACGACGGATATAGTGGCCGCGATGCCGTTCTCCTCGTCGCGACTGACGTCCTCCACCTTACTGTTGTCGAGAGTGGCCCCAAGTTGTCGCGGTTATATCCCGCGTATTCACTCTCTCTCTCTCTCTCTCTCTCCGTGGCGAGACGCACGAAAATTTCACGTTAGAAACAAACGCGATGAATGCACTGATAAGGACGATGACAGTACTTTTACAACGAGCACAACTCCACAACTGTTCGCCGCGAATCGCACTACGTAATGTACTACTTGCGCTCGCGTTCTAATTGCCTCAGCGCTCTCTTATGAGTTAGACACGAATTATTGTCGATAAAGTTAATCTCTTTGTAACTCGACTTATTGTTAGAGCAGTCAAGAGGTTCGCATCTTTGCTAAATTCGAGTGATTGCTGATAAGACAGCTCTTCTGTAATTTTATATATTTTATAATTACGATAATTGCTCAATTAATGCCGAAACAGTATACGACGAAAAAAATAAGAAATAAGAATTATTCAACGTATTTCGATCTATCAAAAATTAAATACCCCGGAATATGCAATTTCCTGGTAGATTGAAATTCATTGCGTAGAGCGTTTCAGCTCTAATATATATATTCCTCTCTTTGAAACTATATTTAACAATAAGTCTTAGACGTTTAAAAATTAATGTTCTTTACATTTTTTATTTCAGTTGAGAATAATTTTTTTTTATTTGTATTAACTTTCCATCTGCAATTTGGATTTTATTGTTGTCTAGTTCAATTTTTTGTTGTTCTACACTTTCAAAAAATGTGGAAAAGTTCGAGATTACTTTCCCATTACACCATACATTAAATATAGTTTTTTGATTCAAATGTCAATTAATCTTTATTTAATAAAGATTAAAATTTGAACGGAAATGAGGAAGAAATTTGAGAATAAAATTTCGTTTGTGTCAAAAAGAATCCAGATTGCAGACGGAATTAAACATCTTTACATTTATTTATATACGATGTCTTTAATTAATATACACCAGCACACACTGAGTGCGTCCAACAGAATTTGCTATATTTATATTTGTTTTATTTGGATATTTGTATGTTTTGGATATATGCATTTACATTTGTGTTTGGTGATTTTTTTTTTTCAATTAATTAATAATATTTGTTAAAGATATAGCGAAACCGATATATCATATCTATAAATGTTTTTGTAAACATTATTATGTTCAAGGATATAAAGCTGCGAGAAATATGCACTTTCATTTAAATGTTTGCTTGTCATTTACTATTACCTGTTTGAAGTCCTACACGCCTTTTCATACATTACATCTATAATAAGGAAATGACTTTCATTTATATAGGCTAATGACATCGGTTTTGCTCATCGGAAAACGATGAGATCGATTTACGTGAAATGATTGAATTGATCGAATGAATTGTGTTCATTGTTGCACATGCCATTCGGATTCCAAATCGTATTATACAGATTGTAATATCAAAAGAACGATTGTGCCACACGTAATTTAAAATCACTGAGCATTTAAAGGATTTAAATTGGAGAAAAGTGGAATAAAAGTTAAATAAGACAAAACGGTCAAATAAAAATCGACTTAAAAGAATAAAGGTAATTTTGATCGAAAAGATAAAACAACATTAAAATTAATGTTGTTCAAAAATTTAGTGTAATTTAAATGATATATAAATATATATACAAAGTAAACTTCTCTCTCTCGATCTATATCTCATTTAGGAACATGTTGCGTAATTGATGCTGGAGAATTTCATATTTGCATTTCTATTCCGAAAGAGTTTCTCCATAGCTTTGAAGATACCATAAGCTCATAAAATAAAACATCGGTAATGTTTATTACAGTTACTTCGCAAGTCATTGAGAAATGCGTTATTTACGTAAGACCGTCATACCCGCAGTTCGACGCATTTACTTCAAATCGACAAATCGACATAGTTTCACTTATGTTTAGTCATAAGAAGATTAACATAATGTATGATAAGAACGAAAGTAAAACAAATACCTTCCGTTGAAGATGAGAGTGAAGACATTTATTTATAGAAATTAATACATAGATCAGATTAGCCTCCAATTCCTATATAAATATTATTTATAAGTGCACTTATTATTTAAAATTTACTTGTTTGTAAACAATTTTCTACTAAATTAGATTTTAAAGAATTAAAATAAATTAAATTAATACTTTAATAATATAAATTAATATAAACTAATAATTATATATATAATATTAATTTGACAAAATATATAGAATAAGAGCAATATTAATTTGATTAAAATAAATTGTTAGTTATTTCTTTTGCGGAATTAAATGTGTATCTAACTTTTGAAATTAGAAATAATTTATTGTTTGATCTTTTCACAAAACGTGCAATTACATTATATGGATACAATTGTTTTTTTTTTTTTTTTATAATATAGTTTCTCTCAAATGATTCGTTATAGTCAAAATTAAAATTATCTGCGATCTAAGATCTTGAGACATTTTAGAATATTTTCGATCTATTTTGCAATAATCTCTCTATTTGTTTCAAGAAAAGTATCTCTATCATAATGCACGCACTATATATAAATATATTATCGAATAACGAAATTCCGAGAAAGTAGCATGTCATTTTGTTATATCATGTCATTATTATATGTTCACTAAAGAGTCTCTCTCTCTCTCTCTCTTTTACGTGCGTTAGACGTGCTGTCTTGCTGTATATCGATATATGTGCCACTGGCTAACGAGCGTAAACGATGCCAGATAGTTACGTAAAATGAAGGACACGAGTTTCGATGTTCGCTATCGATATAGGCTTCCGATGCTTGTTCAATTTTAATGGCTACATCGTGGGAAAGTTCGTTGTAACAGTTAGAACATTTTACTAAATTGAGTATATAGTTCCTTAAATTATTTATTTTGAAATTTATATAACAAAAAATCTTTTTCTTATTTATTTCAAAATAATCCTCGTCTTCCTAATTTGATTTTGACTTTTCGAAGGTTGCTCCAGGTACCAACTGGTGAACACAATTTACTTTCTCTTAGACCAGCAAACTATAATTATACTAATAATTATCTAGACGAGTTAATATTATATCTTTAACGTTATTTCAATAATCAAGAAGCTCGTCTTCGTTTCACGTGAATACTTTTGTAGCGATAACGATGCGACGAAGGCCGAATTTGTGTCAACGATGAGCGAACGTCGCACACTTGGGCGGCGCGGAACATCCCAGATAATCGTTTGCCGACCTCGCCATCGTTCTTTTTTCTTTTTTTTTTATTTAACGACAATGCCGGTGAATGGATGGTCGCGCGGTGCCGGTATTTACCCAGCCGCATCCGATCGTTCGATCACACAGGCAGGCGGATGGAATGCCCCTCTGCTCTTCCTCGTATCCGCCGTTGTGGCACGGTGCACGGTGCACGGCGATTGCTTTTCATTTCGTTACGTGTCCGCTTCGCAGTTGCACGGTAAGCCGGCACGTTCCGGCGTTAATCTCACTCTCCGCTGCCAGACGAAAGGATGGATGTTCATCGAGAGTGAATCGCGAGCGCAGCTCGATGAGAAGCGCATGAAGCTGAAGTCGCGCAGGAGGTGCTCCGATCTCTAACCCGGCCGACGATGTGCGTCCCAGCTAAGTGTGACGATCGCTACTAGGAGAGCTCAATGACGGATCAGCGTTTGCACAAGAGCGTGAGTGAAACGCTTCCAAAGTACAAAGTACAAAAGACTCGAACTCGCAATTTTTAAACGAGTTCTAAGTTTCGAAGAGATCACGAGTTTGATCGTCGTTTTTTTGCGCAAAGTATATAAAAGTCTTAAAATACACGAATCTATTTATCTTGTTCCAACATTTTAAGTGGTTTATCTCTCGAATACTGCTTTTTTTTTTTTTATTTAAAGCGATCTGTGTAAACATTTTTCTTGAAACTTTTTTCCCGCAGAATATACATGAAAAGTTTTATATGTATAAAGTAAACTGCAAACATAAATTGAGAATTTATTTATATAAAATTCGCGTTTTGCGATACTTTACAAGATTCTTTACGTTTTAAATAAAACGTAAGATTATAACATAAGATTATAAAACATAAACTGTTTTTAAAAAAACTCCTTTTTTTTATTTATGTTTTAAACTTATCAGTTAAACGCGCGATTACGTGTTCGATACAAAAATAGCTTAACTATTATCTTCCGTTATTCTTTATTACCTACTGTTTTAAGTATGAGTATTAGGTATATGAGCCATCATCGATATTGTATCACACATTCGGATGCATTATTAATAATGCATTAGTGTGACTCCTTCGATTAATCGCAACTATGACTTAACACTTAGCAACGTTTTTAAATCTTTACGAGCAAAAAGGAATGTTTGCTTCTCGAAAGAATATTTTGCAATTAAATAACAACAATTTTTACTCTAATATGTAAATACGCATCATTACATCTGTTCGTATTTGATAAAAAAAAACCGACTTACATAATAAATAGATTATAGAAGAGTTTTTATTTTATTGAACACGCGTTTGACAGCAGAACTCGTGTTTTACAATAAATCCTGCCATAAGCTGCTATCGCGCAGATTATATTGTGTGCTTGTGTAGTGTTAAAGATAGCGAAACTAAAAATGCGACGTAAAAACGACATGCATAATGTGAGAAACTCCGAGCTCGCTTATGAGAAACGTTGTATTATCTTAAAACCTTGAAATTAGGAGGGAGAGATCCTTAAAGAAATCATTAACGGATGATTGCATTTGGCCGCTTTTCCACTCGACAGCAAGCCTACACGCGACCTAATGTTATGCGTGCCAATTTCAGCTTTTACACGTGATAACGGGCGTTACGTAACGACGTTTGCACAGGTACATCAGTGGCGCGATTAGAAGCAGGAGATGTCGTTCCGGAGGTAGAATAATCTAGGAAATTCTTGAAAAACAAACCTCTTGCAATTTGGTCTTGTCCCGTTGTTTGCAGTGCAAACGTACAAGATGACGACATTGCTTTTCGCCGGCACGATTTTCGTCTGCTGCCTTGTTTCGAGCACAGGTGAGAATCAACGTGCACTGCGAAAAATATAGCTGAACGTGAATGCATTGTAAAGTATGAAAAAAAGGTTTTTTTTTTCATCAAAGTAATGTGCGTGAATAAAATTAATTAAATTAATTACATTAATTAAAATAAATATTACAGAGATATTATTGCGAACTGAGAACACATTTTAATTAAGCACTTTATGAACGATTAAAAACATTTTTACTGATGTCTTGATAATTTTCATTTCCGTTATCTCTTATTTTGCATTTTAACTATAAGTTTGATTTACAAAACAGTTGCATGTCCGTGTCTGTGAATTGCATGTACAATCGTGTTCTTTATCTAGAATCAGCGATAATGCGTAGTGTATTGTGTAGGCATGACACAAGGCTATTTAACTGCAGTTCACATTTTACAAAGCGCGCACCTATGCCCTTCAGGTTGGTCTCAGAGTTGTCAGGATCAAGATACGGGATGGGAAAAGATCGTCGGAGCAAAGCCAGCAAACGCTGTAGAGGCTGTAATTTACAAAAACGGTGGGATGTCCACAAGTAACAACGGTATCGTCGCGCCTTGCTTCGATAGGTGATTCATCAAGCATTTTTTCTTTCCTGTACATTTTATAATTACGTTCAACGAATAAATTGTTTAGTTATTCCATGAAGTTCGAATGTCATAAGTAAATGCAGTCTTTAGATGAGTTATGGATATTTTGCACACGTATATAGTTCGTTAATAGATGCATTTAGTAAATTATACGTCTCACTGTACGAAAATTAAAAATAGCGCTTTAATGTCGCAATATCTTTCTTAAGGAAAATTAACGTTAAATTTTTGCAAAAAGTACTTACGCGAGGCAAATACAGTATTTATGTGGTTCTACTGCGCATAAAGTGTGTAAATTTATCGTTTAAAAATTCGTCTATTACAGGTGTAAACGTTTGAATTGCACAGCTTTCGTAATCGACTTCGCGAGGAACATCTGCTACAGCGTGCAAGTAAAAAGCGAGGAACTCATTCCCGAAACAAATACTACACTTTTCAATAAAATCTGTGTTACAGGTAATAATAAAACTATTTTTTATTATATACCTATATAAAGTATTATTAAAATATAATTTATTTCTTAGCTAAAATTTTTCTAGTTTCTGTATTAGAATTTAAAGCTGCATATCAATTATTTGATAGAAGAAAGTCTGAAGAGCATTAAAATAAAAATTTACAATTTCTTATTTCTACAGAAGGAAGGAGAAATAATATTTCTGAAAATGCCTTTTTTAAAGATCTTTGCATTTGCATTTTCAGTCCCATCAAACTGCAAACAACAGCGATTGTGGCAAGTAGAAAGAACCTTGGGAGCTGTTTTGAAAGAGGGACAGTCTGGCTGGTTTCATCAAGCATTACGGAGAAGCGAGTGTTACGAGAAGTGTCTACAAGCAGGTATGCAAAATAATCGCATAGATATTATCGCGAATCCTAGCTATTAAATAGATTAAAATTTCCAAGAAATTAAAATGCCGTGTATGATTGATTTAAACAATCACAGGAAACGAATGTGTATCTGCGCAATTTCGTACGGGCGAGCCTTTGTCAATCAATGATACTATTGGCACGTGTTCGTTGTCAAGACTCGAAAGGGGTACCAGACCGCAAGCCTACAGATCGTCGATGTATCGAGACGAATATCTGCAGGATCAGTGCCATAACATAAGTAGGTCGATTACCCAATCTCCGTTTTTCTATAAATCGTAAGATCAAGTTGCATTTGAATTAAATTTAACTTATATATAATGATATAGCGACGAAGAGCTATTGTTCCTACGCGGAATTTCGGAACGTATCATTGCCATACTCGGACGTGGCGTTACCAGGACTGGATGTAAAGCAGGTATACTTTGTATTCTTTGTTATTTTTGTGGTCTGACTGATTCATTCTGTCACTTGATTACGATTCTTTTTTTAGTGCGAGAGGAGATGTGATCGCAGTATGGATGGTTTCATGTGCAGAGCTTATACTGTCGATTATTCGGAGGAGAAACCGCTTTGCCTGTTGCATTCCGACAGCACAATCGGTCTTGGAGTCAGTTCATTGGTTACCAGACCTAATGTGGTGTACAAGGAGCAAGAACCTTGTATAGATCGTACGTTTACAATGCGAATAGTTTTACAAATTTTGATTATTTTCAATTTTGATCAATTTTAAGATCAAATAGCAATGGATTCAAAAAAGCATAAAGACGGAGAATATATGAAATTCACAAAAATTATAATTGAACATAAGATCTTGTCCAATGACCGGAAACATTAATTTATTTTATATTATACACATGTTTATTACTGTTTTACTTATTAAAATCTATAAACTTTGTCCATTTATTTTCCGTACTGGCACTGCCTTGTTTCACAGTGAAAGTGGAATGTGGCGAATCAACAATGACAATAATATTAACTACTGCGGAGCCCTTCATAGGACGGATGTACGCGAATGGGTATGGAGACATTCCGACCTGCAGCGTTAATGGTATTGGGAAAAATGTGACGATATTAAAATTACCGCTACCAAAGAAAGAGGAAATTGAAAAGCCTGATATCGCATGCGGCCTTACACCCGCGTTTTCTATTAACAATGAAAATAGGTACCTGCTTCCAAAATCATCTAATTGAATCAATTCAAGAGGAAAGGACTATTTTATTGAAATATCCAAAATTTAAGTTCATACAAATCTGAAAATACTTTTGTTGGACTATCAAAACTGCAGCATCTTGATATTTTATCAACCAGTTTAAATGTTTTAACATGTAAAAAAATGATTTTGAGTCTAACAAAATTATTTTTAGATCAGTATTTTTTGCTAAATTTTTAAATACTTCAGTAAAACCGCTCTTTCTTTGTATCACTGTTAAATACGATAAAAAAAATACTATAATATTGTAGTCGAATTAAATACTAACTTTACTAAGCCAATGAATCTTGTTTTTATAGGACGCACATATTGATTTCGGGCATTATTGTAATACAGTACAATCCAATCATTCAGCGATTGGGAGATCAGTCGGTAAGAGTTGGATGCACCTTAGATGAGGGCGGTCTTCCAGGACCGATGAACGTGACCGTTCATTCAAATTTCTCTTTCGAGGATCCAAAGTAAGTTTAGCTTTTCTAATTCTTACAGGATGGCGATCATAATTGTTTTAAATGAGTAATACATATCCATTTAAATTGCCACCCGATACAAAATTATTCCCAATACTGTGATAAGTGTCCCCGATATTCCGGCTCTGGTTATTCTTTTGTAGCGCAGGCGTACCGCCGGTTGGCTCAATTGTAGTGAACACTTCGTCCGAAGCACCAGTAGTAACGATGAGGATCCTCAACGAAAGCAATATGGACGCTATCGTTACCCAATTGGGACAGAAGTTAACTCTCAGAATTGAAATTCATCCCGTAAATGGTGAGTACTTTGTTGCAACATTTGCATAGGATGTCCCCAGTTTATAATTTCTCTTTCATCGTTAAATTAAATTTTCATTCAAATTGGAACTTTCCTTGAGTGTTAAAGCAATATTTTTTTAATTAAGCGATAATTAAAAATTACTCTTCGCAAATTTAATTTTAGCTGCATTAAGTATATTTTAGTTTGAAAAAAATTATGTTATAATTCTTTGGTTTGACAGGAACTTACGACATCGCAGCTGGACATCTCGTAGCTAGTAGTGCGTCCGGAGAATCCTCTTACCTTCTTCTTGACGAAATTGGATGTCCAACAGATCCGGCGACCTTTCCCGCGCTATTGAAGGATCCAATCGATAATCGTTCTTTGATCTCAACATTTACTGCCTTTAAATTTCCCGACAGTCAAATCGTTCGATTTAACGTCATCGTTAGATTTTGTGTCGAAGAATGTGAACCGGTAAACAGATTACATATATTCATTTTTAACTTTTAATTTAAAGTTCTTTAAGCCATGATTGTATTTTAGGATATGATATTAAAATATGATAAAATTTCTTTTTTACATAAAAGAATATTAATAAGAACATTTATTTAATGAATACAAATAATTTAGTACCTTTGTATGAATTTGTATTGGATTAATTGAAGAGTGAGAAAATTTGAAAATTATGATTTCTTTGTAGGCTATATGCAGAGGAGGACAGCCATCGTACGGTAGGAAGCGACGATCGATCGAGGAACCAGTCACTGCCGAGGTAACTGAAATTTTCAGAAACCTCACGCCCGTGGAATTACCGTTAGAACTATCTATCGTCGTACAAAGTCCAGTGATAACGGCAGACCATTTATCCAGCGAAAATCCTGATACGCTTTTGATCACCGGTGGAAGTGAGTTTAATATCGGTATCACTACATTTCTCTCCAAGCATCGGAAACTTCGATAGAAAATCCATTTTTGCACTTTTAAAGTTTAGATGGTAAAATCATATGACAGAGCTAACGGAGTCACATTAGTTTTTTTCTTCTTTTCCAGAAACGGATAGTCTCTTTTGCGTGAACGCGAGTCTAGCTCTGGGTCTTCTAATCTTTTGGTTAATAATTCAAATTGCACTCACCGCTGGTTGCATTATAGCCGTTCGTCGTTATAGAAAAATGGCTGTAGAAGCTGAAGAAGATAGAGCTCAGATATTGGCGAGACATCTTTACGGGATTCATGGAGGAAACTTTGAAATCGCACGAAGGGTTAGGTGGGCAGATCGAAACGATTCCTCAATCGGATGATAGATTGATTTTCTGCATTTTTCAAACGCAAGGGCAATTTAATTTAAATCTTATTGATATCAAAGATTTTAAATAAAGTTTAAAAAATAAAAAAAAGTTATTACACTTATCAAAGAATTTTTTAATCGTAAAATTTTAAATAATCCTAGTCATATTTTCTACTTTAGGACTGTAATTATATATTTTATTGTTTGTAATGTAGATTTATTTAAATACTTTTTTTAAATTGCAAGTGTGTCTTTAATGTATTTTTTAATGAAATTTGAGTCATTAATTTTATTAGAAACCAAAATTAAATTTTTAGGAAAGGAATAAACTATTCCCACCAATTTAATATATATATATATATATCTTTTTGTATTAACAATTTAAATATTTTATAAAATTCCATTATAATTTGTTTAATGTTGATAACGTTAATTTTAAAATCATTTAATGTAAAAAGATTATAGTAAAAATGAAGTCAATAAATTATTATGTTTGCTTATAAAACAATTAAATGCGTTTGTTACATATTATGCATACGTTACGATGTGTATGTATATATTATATATACGTGTGTGATTCAGATATGAACGAGACTTTTTTGTCTTGAACACAAATCATTGTTAGTAGATGTACACTGAGTGACAAGTAAGAGTGTCTATTCGCGCTCGATATAGTTGTAGCCTCGTGGATATTCTTTCTGCAGTTATTGTTGCAATGTGTCCGTATACTTCGAATAAATAAGTAGATACTTTTACCTGCCACTCAGTATAAACACATCTACCAATGTTGATTCGTATTTACACAAAAAAAATCTCGCTCATATTTAAATCATCCTCGTATATTTATTTTTCTTAAGCTTTGCCAATCTTACATTAAAACATTTACTATCATAAACTGTGTTATAATGAAAATTGCCCAGTTTCGTCTGTTGTACACTTTCTACGATGTTTCGGGTTTACGTCTATAAATATAAAATATTGTGTGTTGAGTATTTTACCATGTTCGCAATCTCACTGCCTTGTACTGTAATAAAATATAAGAATTTTTTTATTATTTTGTATATTTTATATAGAACAAGGATTGTTAAATGTATAAATATATCTAATAAATATATTTGCTGTTGCAAAATCCGTTAATGCTAGAACATCCGCGTATATTTAGAAGAATAATATTAACTAATTTAGAAGAATGCTTTTTTTATGTTATGTGTGTATGATGTACATATAACAAAAAGAAAAATTTTTTCTTATTTAATTTTATCTCTTTTCTTCGGTGTATTTTTTTTACGCGGTATTAATGTCAATTTTTTCTATAATTATAATTAATATGACTTAAAATATTTAAGCAATAATCATAACAATAATAAAAAGATAGTTTAAAAGGTTGATAGAAATAACAATCTACGTGACTTATTGAAAAAATATTAAAACAACTAGCTTGACCGTTCTAGCGTTAAAGTGAAAATTTTGTCTCTGAGACATTGTCACTCTAATAGAAAGCTTGTTTTACATTGTTATCATGCATATATCTTTCATATAGTAAAATAAATAAAACTGTTAAATAAAAAATAATGTCTTTATGTAAGTATTTCACCTACTCCGCATCCTTGTTCGCAATGCAATTTTTCTAAATTGTTATAGGTAATGTTCGTACTATAAATGGGATCGAATTCCAATGTCGTCTGTGACATTAAAAATACTTTCTCTATTATCAGTTCAACATTAAATTTATTTTTCAATTGTTTAAAATAACGACAAAAATAATGGCATCATTTACTTTTCATCCTACTTCTTTCATCTAAATTCCTTTTATTTACAATTGCATTCGCACAATATCATATTACAAGTCTTCATCAATCAACGATTCCATCCATTGATAAACGTTTGTTATTGATGGGGACAGGATCGAAAGTTCACAGACCATCGACGTATCGCGATGAGTATTTACTAGAGCTCTAGATTTACAAGAGTAGCACAAACTACCCGTCATTTTTGACCTGTGTAACACGATGCGAAATATGAACGATATATAGACTATCTTTACTGTATGACAAGATCGACTGTATATCGAGTATAGAACTTGTTTTTAATTGACTGTTTAATATTAAATAATATAGAAACACTAAACTCAAGTAGTTTGGCACATTAGTATGGCATTTTTTATTTATAATAATATTGCATAATAAATAAATATATGTTTTATTGTTATGGATTATTGTTTATATTAAGAGTCCTTGTTGAACTTCAAATTAAATATATATGTATATATATTGCATACTTATATTAATATTGCCCATTACTATACAGTAGAACATTTTCCATTTTATCTGCTGCGAAAAGCAACCAACTGCGGCATTATTGTTTAAAAATATAAGATATAAAAAAATAATTAAACATTAATTTTAAATCACGCATGTTCCTAGCTCTTATAAGTAAAAGTTGTCACAAACATAAGTCTAAAATGGCAGTCGAAAAAAAGAAAGGCGAAAACGCCAACAAAGGAATGCGCTACTATTGTACATCTAGACATCTAGAGCGCTAGTATTTACAGGATAAGTGTCTTTTAACATAATTAAGTAAATTAATTGATCCGCCTTCCTGCAAATTGTAATATTTAACTGCATTTGAATTGAATTTAACTTGTACATGTTATAATCAAGAGCGACTGTGCCAAATTTCGAAACGTATTATTGCCATTACTTGGTCGTGCCGTAACAGGACTTGCAGGTCTATATTCTTCAACTTATAACGCAAATTTTCTTATCGTTATAACGTCGTTGTGCAGCTTTTTTTAGCAAAAGATAAAAAAAATTGCGCAACTATGTTATAACGATAATAAAACTCGCGTTAACAGTTACAGAACAGTTCTATTGGATGTAAAGCAGATAAGAGTATATTCTTTGTATTTCCGGCATCGGCTGTTTTTGTGAGAAATTCGATTCACTTGATCATTGTTTTTCTTTTAGAAGAAACATAACCGCAACGCCATTAATTGTTTCATATGCTGAGCGTTCGCGTATATTATTTAGAGGAATTGCTCTGTCTACTTCATTTCGACAGCACAATCAGTCATACAACAATTGGAATTACTTCGCTATAGTGACCAGACTTGTGATCTACATATATAAGGAGGCAAAAACCTCATTTAAACGATATATACATATATAGTGTGGATAATTTTACAAACTCTATATGAAATGAACTAACAATTAGATGTATTTATCTACATTAACAATATAAATATCATAAAGCATATTATTTACATTATTTATTTGAGAATGATAGTATTAATTCTAAAATCATTTTCAAAGTAAAAGGATTAAAATAAAAAAAATAATAAACTATTGTTTTCTGTTTAAAAACAGATAAATATATTTAATACGTATATTATACATACATTACGGAACGTTTAAATATGTTTATTCTTCCTACATTTGCAAATTTTTATTAAAGTATTTATTATGGCATATTGTATTACAATGAAAACCATAAATTAATAAATTATTCAGTTAAACTTTCTTGACACGGTCCATGATGTTTCACTGTTACACCTGGAAACATATAATATTGAATATTGAGTAATTTAAGTACATGGTTTGCAATTGCATTAGATGTCTTACGGTCTGATTATATGTAAGATTTTTTTATCACTTTATATACTTTTCAGTGCAAATATTATTAAATGCGTAAATATAACTGATAAATTAATATTTGCTAATCTATTATTTATTATAATACCGGAATTGAGAATATTTGAAGAATGCACGTTCTCCATCCATCTTGTGTGTAAAATAGAAGCTTTTTTTGAAATCTTAATTCTGTTTACTTTTAATTTACATATTAGTATCTCTTTATCAATTTAATTGTTTCAAAAATTATTGTAACTTCGAAGATTTAAGCAATAATTATACAATAATAATAATAAAGTTGAGTTTTAAAAGGACCTCTTTGTTTTGTTGAAAAAAATTAAAACCAGTTTTATTGTTGCAGTGATAAATAAAAAATGTCTTTGAGATCATTGTTACATTAATAGAAAGCTTGGTATATGATATTGCCACTCATGTACCTTTCATATAAAAAATAAGTAACTGTTAAATATGATAAAATTTTAATGAAGAAAATCTTACCTTTACCACAACATTGCGCGCATGCTAGTTCTGCTAAATTAACATAAGTAACTCCATCCGTACCACAAACAGGATCGTAAAGTGCTATTGTCTATTAAATAAATGCCGTTATAAGTTCAATATTAAATTATTTTTCAGAAAGAGATGTAAGAAATGTTTAATAAAAAGTTATAGTTATACAGGGCAGCTTTTCATGCATTTATCGAAATCCTCATTGCAGATACAGAATGGTAATTCACTTTCTTGTCCATTGAATTGCTTATAAGCCATTGGACTGTTATCAATCTCCAATGCATCATACGAATTCTATAACATTTATAGCGCAAATTACACTTTTAAATATTATACGTCTATTTTTCTTCACACACACAAATATTACGACATTGGGATTCAGAATACTAAAATAAATATTAAAATTGAACATAATGCTTATGTAAACTTTTCATTACAATTTTTTTTTACATAAATGGTTAAAATAAAAATATTATTTAAATACAGAAAATATTAATTATTAAAAATTCAAACGATCTATGAATATGATGATATGCCTGCGTCATAGTTTATTACGTTTAGCATAGAATATGATTATATTTTTTGACGTTACAATATATTCAAATATTTAGAATTATTTAAATATTGATCCATTTGTCTTTTAAAGATCGCATAGAATATTTACTTACTTGTTCATTCGCGGTGATAAGAATCGGCGTTGCAGCAACTGTAAGAATTATTAATACAATATAATGGAAATATTGTTATAGAATCAATTAATTGATGCGTAAACAATTTGCATCATGCATGAAATGTTTGAATTAATTTTCTTACTCAGCAAAATAAAAAATAACATTTTGTTAAAGTTTGCCTGATCGAAGACCGCCGGTTATCGATGGTATAATTGACGTTCTACTGTTTGGCTG